GGTGGGTGGATGATGGGAATGCATGACTAAGAACTGCTGCTCATATTAGAAATACATGGGGCAGACTGGTGGTCAAGAGGTGGGTTTTGGGCTGGGTGCAGTGGCTTGTGCCTGTAATGTCAACACTTTAGGAGGCTGAGGTGGGAAGATTCCTTGAACCCAGGAGTTGGAGACCAGCTTGGGCAATATGATGAGACCCTGTCTCTATAAATAATATAAAAATAGGCTAGGCATGGAGGTGTGCACCTGTAGTTCTACCTACTTGGGGGGCTGAAGTGGAAGGGTCGTTTGAACTCAAGCATTCAAGGTTTGTGTGAGCCATGATTGAGTCACCACACTGCAGCCTGGGTGACAAAGCAAGATCCTTTCTCTAAAAAAAGAAGAGGTGGGTTTTGGATGATTTTGCCTGCATCTGAGTACTGACTCCTCCACTCACTGAAGTCACTTTGGCCAGGTGACTTCGTGTTTTTGTGCCTCTGCTCCCACACCAGTAAAATGGGGATAACAATAAGATAGATCTTGATGGACTGTTCTGATAAATGAGAAAATCAGTGTAAAGTGCTTGGAGATGTGCCTAGTGCAGAGTGAGCACTTGGGGAATGTTAATTATTTGTATGACTTGCTGGTTTATTTGGAATAAACCTCAAAATTAACTCTCCTAGTCTTGAAATTTGAGAAAGTTATGTTTGTCTTATCTGAGTTCCTTTCTCAGGAAACCAACCACCAGGCCTCTCCGACAGTATCAAAAAGCCAGCAGTGGCTGAGACCAGGCCGTAGTCAGCCCCTTCCCTGTGTACATCAAGTCCATTTGGCTCCAGGGAGACAGGTTAGGGTGAGCAGTGACGTCTGTACTACCCAACAGGCCCTCTCCATTGCTACGCAGAAGTAGACTCTGTTTGAAATTACTCGAATTTCCTATAAAATATACTTGGGTCATTTCCCCAAGCGAAGCAGCTCTCCACATGGTAAAAAAAAATTAAAATGGTTAAAAAAAACCTATCTCTCACCAAATCAAAACAAATCCTTGGATTTGCTATTGCTAGCAATGTTAATAGCTCATAAATAAGAAATTCAACATAGCTATAGTAAAATTCTTTCCTGTGTGGTTGGAAAAGAAAACATTCTAGATAATAATATATTTTGGTAGACAGAAGTTATGATAAATGGCTCATGTGGAAATACCAGGTGGTCTCATAAAAGACAGTATTAATGAGATGTTGAGCGATACCTTATCATAAGTGAGTCACAGTACATCCATTCATTCAGTTATCTGAACACATTAATTCATCAGATTTCGTTTGTGTCTCCTCTACACAAGGTTAACATCTGAAACATGAGGGTTTGATTGTGCGTCACATGGACACTGAGAGACAAGCGATGCCAAGCAACAGATTCTCGGCAAACAGAATGAAGAGTTCGCGGCTTTTATGTACATATATAGTCCTCAGCATGATTAAACTCACCTTTGCTTTTAAGTTTTTAAAATTTAGGTATCGTGCAAAAAATTACTACAATGGTTAATTGATTTTCCATTAGACTTCTCTTCTTCCTAAGCAAATTCTATGTCGACTTGTTAAGATGTTACAAAAGGAAAAATATTTTCCCACTTTGACAGTGCAACTGGATGTTCTCCCCAAAGTAAAGTCAACCCACAATCCAAAAGGCGCAGGAGCCACCTTCACAGGGCAGGAAAGCGTGCTCACCATCTCTGTGATCTCAGCAATGTCCTCTCTGTGCTCCCAGCTGGGAAACATATTCGTGAATGTCAGGGGCTCCAGGCCAGCATGGATAAGGTAAGACTTGGGGGGTGGTTTCTTGAGATTTTTCCCTGTAGTTACACAGAACAAAATGTCAGTAGACCCAAGGGAGAGGGAGACCCTGTCTTTCACTGATTTCCCTTGAAATCTTTTCTTCTTTGTCAGAACTCATGACTTCATGCTTAAAATGCAAGTTACGAGTAGTTCATAACAACACATGGATAATGTTTATGTAAAATGTTAGTTCCATGCCTGTGACTACAATAGTGACCTATAATCAACCTAAGTCTATACTTCTTGAACCTAACAAAACGCTCTGTATTCCTGGAAGGGAGAGCTCCTCTGTCTGCAGCTTCTGGGTGGAGCATTTTCTTCCTCCTGAATTCACTGTAGCGGCTTCCCTCTGCCTTCCTACCACGGGATTAACTCCAATATGGC